CCACTAGAGACCCATCAACTTGTTCAAATCGAATTGGGTGGTTGAGCTTGTTGACTTGGATCCCTAATTTTAGGACTGTGGGTAGGTTAATCAGGCACCTTGTGCAACCCGAATCTATTAGGGATTGGAAAGTCCCTAAGGAGGCAGTTGAATGCTGTTTTCCACTCATCTCCTTCCCTGATGCATACCCGGTAGTAGGCTTCGCGGAGGTGTAGTTTGGTGAAAACTTTCCCTTTGGCCAAGTGAGCTAGCATGTCTTTCATGAGGGGAAGGGGATATAAGTTGTGTATGCAAACAGTGTTGAAATCTCTAAAATCAACCACCAGGCGCATAGAGCCATCTTTCTGGTTGACTGGTCTTGCTGTCAGAAAATTTTTCCTTTCTTCTAGATTGGATCTTTTTGGAGAAGCTTTCACGAATACAGACTGTAGACTGTTTTGATAGTGTGCCTTCACAATTTAATTGTAATTCTTTTAAATACAAGAATTATAATTATATTGAGTCAAAATACAAGTATTATAAGAATTAAATGCATTTACATTTAAATAAAATCTAGGTAACTGAAACTTTTACCCATTATTTCTGGTCCAAGTTTCTTTAACAGTGGGAAATAGTTTCTGACCATATTCCCTATGGCACTGTACCTGAACCTGTCATCCTTCTTTTCTACAGCTTAAATAGCAATAGCACTTACACTTATATACCATTTCATGGTGCTTTACAACACTCACTAAGTGGTTTACAGAGTCAGCATATTGCCTCCAACAATCTGGATCCTCATTTTACTAGCCTAGAAGAATGGAAGGCTGAGTCAACCTTGAGCCAGTCAGGATCGAACTCCTGGCAGTGAGCATAGTTAGCCGACAGTAATGCAATCTAATTACTGTGCCACTCTAAATATCCCAAAATCTAATCAAGAAATGAAAACATGGCATTTTATCAGCAGTTTCCCTTCTGAAGTACTGTTATCCTGATTGGTATAAGTCATCCCACTGTAAGGCACATAATTAGTCTTCCCTTAGAATTGGAATTTCCTGATCACTGAGGTTGGGAGGCAGCAGCCACAATCCTCTGGCTGTTCCCTTCTGCATATGAGTATGGTATGTTCTATATCCTGTACATACTTCCCTATCAACAGTGGTGAAACAGTGTGGATAGGTTACCTTCCATTTTCCAAAGATTTTTTTTAAAAAGATAGGGTTGAAGGAAAATTGTACTATGCTTCTGACATGGAAACAGAGATTTATTCTTTATATTAATTAAACAAGATAACTTGGTTTCCAGTCTGACTGATGGCAGAAAAGTGGAGGAGATCAGGAGATGGCAGAGCAGCACCACTAGTGGGAACTTGCATTCCATACCTTCCCTCAGGCTCTCTGGCAGTGAGAAGGATAGTAGTAGCTCCTTGTGGGCTGATTCTATTTGCTGTGAGTATAGGAGGAAGAGCTCTACATTTCCTCCATCCAAGGAGACAGCTCAGTATACGTAATCCATCCCTGACTGGCAGCTTCTTCTGGATATTTTTTCTTAATTGTAACTGAATTAAGGCCTTTTCTTATAAAAAATTTCTTAGAAAGCAGCTTTGGACCTCTATGATTTCACTACATTGGCTGAGCTGATTTATTTCCTACTCAGCTGTCTTATATTTGAAATTATAACAAATTATAACAAACTAGCGTTTCTTTGAAAGACTGGACTCTATATAAGCAATCCATTTTCTTCTTTGCAGGAACCCTTTGCAGGCCCCTGTACCTTCAGGAGGTCTTTGAAGAAAAAAATTAGCTTCACAGCTTTGTGAACACTTTACATCGTATTTTTCTTTTCCAAGTCCAAAGACAGTATTGAGCAGGGCCAGTGGTGGGTTCCTCCCGGTTCAGCCCGGTTCGGCCGAGCTGGTAGCAGTGACGATATGTCGTCACCGTACCGGTTCTCTTTGTTTGGGACCGGTGCCTCCAAAAACAAATGGGTAGACTGGTATAGCTCTGCAAGCAGTTAAAAGCCTGGTAGACCAGTACTTCTGCTAAATCCTAAAGAATTGTCACATGACCATCAAACCACGCCCACAGAACCGGTAATAAAAAAGTTTAGAACCCACCCCTGAGCAGGGCCAGTGATTCTTTCACTGGTAAAAGAAAAGTAGTATTTATTACACCCCAAATAGTTTTGAAGGCTTGGGTGTAGAAATTATGGTAGTGTGTTTTCTTAGGGCATCTGGTGCCCTATATATAGCAGATGAGATACAGAACTACTCTGTGTGGCAACAAGGAGAAAGCCATTGAAGCATCTTTAAACATTGTTGCAAATGATCAATATAATAAAATGCCTGTAAATTTATAAATTAGTCTTCCTTAAAGATACCTTTTTTCTTGAAAGAGAACAAAAGAGAATCAAGAGCAGAGATAGAAAATGTTAAATAGCTATTAACTTAATCCATTTTAGTTGATTGTGGACTCCTGCTTTATTTTTGCACTGATTCTAGGATGTGTTTTAATACTTTGAAAAAGAAGGAAGAGGAGGCTTAATTTTGTTCCTATCATTTCTCTTATGTTGTATTCAGTAGTGGGTTTCAATTTAGTTTGCTACCGGTTTGCTTGTGCATGTGTGTGCAATGCTTCTGCGCATGCGCAGAAGCATCTGGGTGGGTGGGCGGCGCCTCCCACCACCGCTACCGGTTCGCCCAATCCGGGGCGAACCGGTAGCAACCCACCACTGGTTGTATTTCCAAATTCTAATATAGAGGGTGTTAGTGTTTCCTTAAAAAAATATTTGCAGCCTGGTTCCCGCATGCTAAGTTCAATGATGTATGACATTTGGGACAGCAGCTTGAATCCAAATCCATTAGCTGGCTGCTTGCTAATCCCTTAGGACCAGCTGCCTCATCCCATTAGCAGAAAAGCAAATGTGGCACACTTCTTTGAACTACTCAACACGACAGCTTGGCATTACAACCTTGTTCTGAAAGCCATTTCATGACAACTAGGAGAACCTAAATTTGGTAAACAGAGTTGTTTTTGTTTGAGTATCTTCCACACACAAGTGATTCAGCACTGGGAAGAACAGGAGCAAGAAAAATGAATATGAACTTGCTGGGCTATCAAACAGCATAAAAATAAGTTACGTCAGTGCTAGAAAGAATTACCCCAGGGAAGGGCTCTTGATTTTTGTCAGAAGAGTTCTGTGAAGATAAGTTCTATTTAGCAAGCTGCATTTTAATTCATCAGGTTTCTAAAACTGAATGAAAATAAAAATATATTGACTTATCATAGTGTACTTTTAACTTTTTTCCCCTTTCCCTTAAAAAAAAACCTCATTCATTTTCTGCCTGTGGTTGAATTATCACCAGCCATTTGATTACACAATACAAGATTTGCATTGCATCATTGGTGAATATATATTTTTATATTCACATTTACAATTTTTACTGTTTTCTTCCTCAGGTTGAGGAAGGGGTTGGGCAGGGGAAGGGGTTATTTGGGGACAATATATGTTCAGAAGGCAAAAATGTTCCATAAGTCAGAAGTTCTCAGTCTACATTTATTTATTCATTCATTCATCATTCATTTCTGTAGCTGCCCAACTCAACCAAGTAACTCTGGGTGGCTTAGAATTATAAAAGAATTTAAACAATTTTAAAAACATTAAAAAAATAAAAACATGTACAAAATAAATAAATACAAACAGCAGTCATTGTGATTAATTAATCAACTAATAATAAAGCCTAGGCCGGTTACTTGGCTTTACTACTAGTTGATTAATCAACTAATATTAGTTTAGCCCAGTATCCTAGCTGAATCTCTATTTAGACAAAAGTAACTTTACTGTGAGCTACATAAGACAAGGTAACATATAAATTAATCTAGACAAATAAATAAATAAGTAAATTAATTAACTATGTGCTTATAACATGAAAAAGAGAATTTCAAAAAATAAAATCTTTGAGTGAGGATAGTTAGAGAGCAGTTCCACTCTTTTCCTACTTATCATTTCTCCTCTTTTTTATTTCACAAAATGTTGAGAAATCAATTATCCTTTAGAAAACATATTCCCTAGCACCACTGAAAGGCAACTTTCAGCAGAAGGATGCAAGAATGGATGGACCCTGATTTGGCCCACTCTACATTCTATATTATGCCCCCACTCTATACTTCATTGCTCTTCAGCCAAATTGTTCTACAAAGCGACTATTAGGATATTGCTACATGGAATCCCATAAAAGATTAGATGCCACCTCAGGCATTAAAGCTGGGGGAACTTCAGGTGGCCTAAAGGACAGAAAGAATCTGGTCTCCAGTGGTAGAATCAGTCACATAAAATTGTCTGGATTGTCAATTCTATCAATGGGAAATCTAGATTTGCTTAACAACTGCATGATTCATTTAACAATTGCAGTTAACAACTAGGGCAAAAAAGGTCATAAAATGGGGCATAACTCACTTAAGAACTGCCTTGATTAGCAATAGAAATTTTGGGCTCAGTTGTGGTCATAAGTTGAAGACTACCTGTTTAACTAGATTGTTGAACTAGACGTTGTTCCCACATGGCCAGTCAGGATCAGGAAACACCCATTTAGCATAATTGAGAGTATCACAACTTGTGATCTTAACCATCAGTCCCCATCCTGAAAAGCATCTGTATCCCTAGTTATTTTTTGTCATTCAACACTGTGAAAGAAATACCTTTAAAAATTAAGAGCCTTGGTAAATATTGGGCAAGAAAGAGACAGAACCTGTATTCCAGTATAAATCTATAAAGCGTCTTTAACTGCTATTGCTATTCTTTATTTCCAGACTGCATAACCTTTTATTGATGTAATCTGTAGAAATATAAGCACAAGGCAGGCTTGAATCTAGAACAGAAAAAGAACATTTAAATCTTTATTTTAGAAAAAGAACATAGATAGAAAGAACTCCACACATGGATTAAAATTATGTTGAGGATATGAAATAATAAAAAAGCCAATTTTATTATACTAAACAAAAATGATGAGAGTTGGTGCCTACCTGTGGGCTGGTATGCACAGCAAAACTCATGTCTGGTGGAGAAGTCAAAGGAACAGCATGGGACGCAACAGGGCTCGTGATTCTCCTAAGCGGACAGCCTGTTGTACTGCCAGACCCTATGGAGCTCATGGGGATGGACAGAATTTCTGATGCATCAAGAGATGCTTCCAGCTGGTTGGATTTGCTGTTTATAACAGAGTTCCCATTTGGTGACAGATTTCCAGGTACAGACCTGGGATGAATTAGAAAACCTGAAAGAAAAAAGAAAAAGGGGAAGACAAGAGCATATTTTCTATATCAAATGTTCTCTCATTCCTTAGTAGGGAGAAGCTCATTAGAAGAAGTACAGGGTTTAGTTTTCTTTTGGGGAAAAATAGGATGCTGGAGACTTCTGTCATCTTTGATTATTTACCAATATTTTAAAAAGACAAGTTTAGAGGTAAGAAACCTACAGAAACCTTCCTATGACACAGATCCTGCTGTTCCCAGCTTTCTGATTCTAATGGCATTCCAACTCATGGACAAGTAAGTGTTCCTTTTATGCTTTTCAGCCAAGATTTCCCAAGGGAAATTCTCAAGAAATGTTCCACCTTTAAAGAAAATAACAGCACAGGCAACATATGGGAAGACAGATTACATGCTTTCTGAATTAAGCTGAATGATATAAAGTATCTTCTTTGCTGACCCAATAAAACTTTTTTTAAAAAAGTAAGCCTTCTGTGCTATTTACATTCCATCTAGTACTGTACTAAAGAGTTAGATTTCCAGGGAGGGCATGGTGGTTATATCTTCTGCTGCTCATACTTACTGAAAGAATTTAAGAGAGAGGAATAAACAGATGAAGACTTAGAACATAGAGCATAGTCTTTCCATGTGCAGAATTAAACCTGCCCAGACTCCATTGACTCTGACAAATGTTTTTAATGTGATTTAGCAAGCTGAGCTTTTCTTATCTTTTCTTATATATATTTTTTAAATCAGATTTGACTCTTATCTCAGGTAAAAACACAATCAAAGGAACAATTTCTACAGTAAATTAATAGGTGGATAAGGCAGAAAGAGATGAATGTGACTTGCGTCTCTTCACCAGGAAAAGAAGCAGGGCAGCTCTAACCTTTCTGTTAAGCAGCTTTTGGGGAATAAATTTGATAAAACAATTGTGTACTGTTTCATGTTAAGATACAGTGAATTAACCCTTTCTATATTCTTCAGGATATCAGAAAAAAAACCCTCCAAATAATTTCTTAGTTGTCCTTAATGTAGTGTGGCTTTTACTAAAGAAGGGAGTGTACCCTAACACTAACATATTTTGACAGTCATGCTTGACCTCTACATGAAACTCTTCCATGTAAGCAACAACAACTAAGAATTATGTAAAGGAGACTTGTACACATGCACGAATGTACAAACATACAAACATATCTACACACACAGACTTGCACCCATGTATGCCTACTTCTCACAAGCACTGATATCCAAACACTGAAGGATGGTCAGCCACTGTTTTTATATTTCTTTTGTTATATTTCATGTAAATATCTTCGGAAACATTCTGTATCTAAGATTTCAAATTATGGGAATTGCAAAATGATTTTTATTCTTTGAAGTTGATAAAACTTTGTATGGTCCTTGTACAGTTTTCAATTGTCTAAGATTTAAGATTACCACTCAGGCTAACTCTATAGAAGGAAGAAAAGAGACTTCACAGCTGTCTGCCATTGCCAGAATGTGATGTTTAGCACAAGTGGTTTATACTGTGGCTCAGGGATAGTAGCACCTCTTCAGCTTTTCCCTTTCCCCATGAAAATGCCGAAGGGGCAGCAATGCTCGCTTGGTTCTGGCAGCTGTCAGGACACTCTACAGAGGTGGCCTAGACCAAGCAAGCGGGCTGAGAACCGATTCAGTTTGGCACTGCAATACTCCTTCCTTCCTTCCCTCCCTCCCTCCCTCCCCCTTCCTTCCTTCCTTCCTTCCTTCCTTCCTTCCTTCCTTCCTTCCTTCCTTCCTTCCTTCTTTCCTTTCTATAATCACATCCAAACTTACAATTATACAGTTAAAATACACAAAATCAATACAGTTGAAATACACAAAATACAGTTAAAATACACAAAATCAACAACTATAAACTGCAGCCTGATGACAGCAACTGTTTTCAGGGAAGGTGCCAGATGATCAATTTGGTTTTAGAAAAAGCCAAGGAACAGAGGGGCATCATTGCTGATGCAAGCAGGATAATTGAAAAAGCAAAACCCCAAATAAATCAATATGTACTTCATTGATTTCAGAAAGGTCTTGATCATGCAAAGCTGTGGAATGTCCACAGTAAAATAAGAATCCCATAACATCTCATTCTACTCATGTGACACCTAGGCACAGGTCTGAAGTCATGGGCAGAATGTTCACAAAACAGACTAACTCCAGGTGGGCAAAGGAGTGACATAAGCTTTGTAATCTGTCCCTGGTTATTAAACACATATGCTGAATATTTATTGAAAAAGGCTGAATTGGAAGAAGATAATATGGTTTTAAAACTGGAGGAAAAAATATCAACAAGCTGCACTGTGCTAATGACATTACTCTCCTAGCTGAAAATAGAAAAATGAACTCCAAGTTCTAGCAATAAAGGTCAGTGGAAAAATTGGAACTATATTTAAATATATAGACCAAAACTAATTGCAACAACTGCAGCAACCAACATTAGAAGGAATGGGGAAGGCCCTGAAATGGTAGATAGTTTCTGCCTTTTAGACTTGAACATCAACAGTAATCCTTTTTAAATACACCACTAATTAGATTATCTATTGTGATTAGCATCATATCAGTCTGAGTCAATTTCTGTCAGAAGTTATCAGGTGAAACTGTTTGCAACCATTTCTAAAACCATGCTTTGTCTCACAAAGCTCCCAATGTTCACCACTGAAAAATACCATAGTACTGGTATAATTTTATGTAACTTTTGTGATGTGGAAAACAGTCATTTGAAATGGTAATTAGCACTCACTTATTGTAACATTTCAGGTTGATAGTCTGAAGATGAATAAGACAGAGTCAAGATAGCTAATTAAGAATCAGTTATATGTTATGAAATATGCAGATCTGCCACCATCTAGCTATCTCCATACTTGACCCTCATAAAACTAAGAAGTGACAATGTCATTTTATTTTTGTTGTCTCTGTTAACTGCATGCTGTCAATGTGTCTTCCGTTTTTGAGGAAGAAGAGGAGAGTGACATAGTGGAGACCACAGTCCAAGCCCCACAATTATTAAGCTAACATTTTAGATCCAACTTTGGATCTAAATATAAAGATATATAAATGCAGATCTTTGATATCTCAGTCCAATAGTACATGTGTTTCCATCTCTCACACTATACAATGGTTAAACTGATGGTTGTTTTTTGAGGCAAGCAAGTTGCATACTCATACAGCCCATTATCCTATCTTGTTAAGTTTACTGAGAAGTTATACCACTATGTGGCTACCCTACTTCAAGATCATCAGAGTGAATTCTGACCTATAAAAGTGAATGAAACCCTTGCAGATGTAAGATCTTTTCTTCTGATGTGTGTGCATCTGAGATAGAGAAATAGAGAAGGGTGCATCCTATAAAATATGAGGCACCGATTCATCAGTGATCAACAATAGACACTATAAATGCTGAAAACAATGTTACAAGTGTTTGAATGAGATAAAATATAATCAAGCAATGACTTTTATTTATGCATTTCTGGCAACTATATTCTGACAACAGAATTCATATGGGATTTTAAACTCATGAATCATAATTCAACTGAATTTTGAAAGATAAACTCACAATGAGCTAACTAAAAGAAGGGTTATGAATTAACTTTTTTTTTAAAAAAGGCCATCTCCTGAGCTCCAGTAATATAATGATGAAGGAGCATCTTCCCAATGAGCAAGTAGCTTGGTAGATGTAGGAACATCATTTTCTTTTCCTCAACATGAACATAAATCCAGTGCCTGTTCCCATCCTCCCACCTAGTGTTCATCTGCACATAAGCACCTAACTTACTATTTGTGTTGAAAACCTGAAATCCAGAACTGTGCATGTAGTACTTACTCACAAAGTCTGTGTGAAACTTCATGAAGTGTGGATGATCCCCATACATGTTTAATCTTCAATCCATCACCTCACTGGAACAGTAACAGTGCCTGCAGCTTCAAAAATCCTTAAAAATGTTTTCTTCTCATGATCAAACGTGACCCAAAGACAGCAGTTTCCAGCAATTTCAGGGTAGAGCAGCCTCCTCAAGTAGAGAAGAAATTATGTGCAAGCAAATCTTCGTTAACCACAAGACAGCGACAGCAGCTGCTGGCTGGCTGGTTAGAAACAGTTGGAGCTGCTTTTCCCTCCCTCCTTCCCCGCTCTCCCTCCTTCTCTTCGCTTGCAGCAAACTTAAAATCTCCCTCAAAGGGAGCTGGATTCTTACTTTATGGTATCCTGATAGCTGAATTCATTAGTGAGAAGACCAATCAGTGTATCGCTTTACTGGTATAGCTCTCAAATCAAAAGCTGGGGGAATAAGAGTGGGTTGGATATTATTCAGTGTGTTTGTTTTCAGAAATGTTCAGTGCTTTGTGGAGTAAGTAATAATGACATATAGCTAAAATTATAAATAGCTAATTCTTTGCTGATCTCTGTGAGATACAAATTAGATAATATTATCAAATATCCAATAAGGAGTTTTTAAAATGTAAGATTGAGACTTTATTTTGACATTGCCATAATTTGATAGATGGACTTCTCTGCCTGATAACAAAACAGAACTGCAATTAACAGGAAACCCTTTCCATTGCAATTTGCATCTGCTTGCTTAGAAGTGGTAGACCTGTTGAATTTGTTGATTAGTTAGGTACCTTCAAGTTGGTGTTGATTCTTAACAATCACTTAGACCTTTTTCAGGTTGATTTGTCCCCAACCTTGTCTCTCAACAGTGCACTCATTGCCACTAAAATCAGGTTAGGACTTTAAAGTGATTCCTGATGTTTTCCTTGAAAATGGTGAATATATGTTCAAGACTATATCATGCAAACTGGTTAGTCTCTTCTTCCACTTTACCTTAACCTAGAACTTGAAAAACATGTCAAGTATTCCAACCTGAGGAACCTAGCATATGGCACTGTATCATCAATCACCTTACTTTGTTTATCCATGTGGTTTCTTTGGTAAAACACAAGAGTGGTTTACAATTTGCTTCTACCACACACATTTTGAACTGATGCCTTTGCTATTGTCATACTTCTGCTACCCAATATAGGTGTCTTCTTGCTTTAGTTGAGTAGCTGGGGTCAGATATTTATTTATTTATTTATTTATTTTATTAGTTTATAATATAAAATGCAAAAGTACAAAAGCAAATAATAGGATAAACAGGGAAGGAAAAAGGGAAGGAAAAAGTGTAGAAAAGGGAAAAAGAAAGAAAAGGCATTGACTTCTGACTCCCTTTGGTGCAGTAGAATAAGATAATATCAAACCTCAACTTTTTACTTTTACATAATAATATAAACTAGCCATTTCTATAACAACAAACCTATCTAATCAGTAAAACCCAAAATCAAAGTTTCATTTTTTTCCCACCTCAAGCACAAAGTCCAGAAGCGGTTTCCAAGTAGAAACAAAAGTAGATGTGCTTTTTTCTTTAATCAAAGCAGTCCTTAGCCATCTCTGTTAACTTCATCAATGTTTACAGCCATTTGTCCACCACCTTTATATTCACTTTAAGAATCTATATTAGGATATGAATCCTACCCCAAAATTTCTTTGCTTTATCAAATGTCCACCATAAATGATGAAAAGTCTCTTCTTTACATTTGCATTTCCAATGTTCATCTGAAGTGCCTTTATACATTCTTGACAACTTGTCTGGTGTTAAAATACTTGACAACTTGTCAGGTTTTCTATGAAGATGCCTCTTTGGGTGTCGCCCGAAGAAGCTTTTTGTAGAAAAGAAATGGTAGCGAAGCCATACTGGTGGATTTATGGTCAAATAATATCTTTTAATTTTATGATCCTATCCTCAAGTCTAAGGAGGAGTTAGAATCAGAAGGATGTCTGCCATTGGTTTACATATTTACAATTGGAAAAAAGTTTTAAATTAGATTAAAAAGAATTATGGGTTTGAATCTGTTAAAAAAGAATTACCATACCTACTGTATGGTAATAATGAACATATTTCTATAAATTGTTATTGAACTTAAATTTGGAAAATGAATATGTAAAGCACTGCATGATTCAGTGGATAAGGAACTTTGAATATAATATAATGCTTGAACAATGGGAGAATAAGTGGACTAAAGGTTTAAAAATTACACTAAATTATAATGTAAAAGAAATTTTTTAGAAGATGATGTATTGCTGGAATCACATATTTACTAGAATTGTCCTACCTCTCTGTGGCCATGAGAGTTGCCAAAGAAAAGTACAATGAATAGAACAGGGAACACAAGATCCTTTGTCATAATTTTGGGGAAATAGTTTATTTATACATATACATATACATATACATATGCATATGCATATGCATATGCATATGCATATACCATATACCATATACCATATACATATACATGTATGTATGTATATCTATTTGTGTCCAGGGTTTTTATGTTCACTTTTTAAATCAATATCAATAATATCAATATATTGATAAACTGATAAATTGATGTTTTCAAGCATTTGACTGGAATAATGTAAATTTTCCTGCCTTGAGCAAGGAGTTGGACTGGAAAACTTCCAAAGTCCCATTCAGCCCTATTATTCAGGTAGCATTACCTTTGAAGATATAGATAACCAAGTCAAGCAAGGAATGTCTATTCTATCTAGGTTAGATGCTAGATGCATTCTATCTATTGGTATTTACAAATAGAAAATTGGGTTTTAAGTCAGTTTTGTAGCAAACCTCAACTATGTTAAAGAAGATTTACTGTCTTCTCTACAAAGCTCTTAAGATCCGTAATTATGTTTTGAACCTTCTCCAGTCTCTTTTGTAGAAAAACTCTGCATAGAATTTAGATATTTGTAGCAAACCAGCACCATCTTGTGATTTCTCTGAAGTACTGCATTTTATTTTATGATTCTTTTTAAAGCTGCTGACCCTGATTGGAACATTTTATCATTACTAAAATTAAATATTAAACCTGAAATAATGAAAGTTAAAAAGAAGTTAAATATTTTTATCATGTCTTCCCACTTCCTTCTTTTCTTTAAGCTACTCTTTAAGTTTTTGTAAGATTTTGCTTTTAAGCAATGGTGAAATCCAATTTTTTTAACTACCAGTTCTGTGGGCGTGGCTTGGTGGGCATGGCAGGGGAAGGATACTGCGAAATCTCCATTCCCACCCCATTCTGGGGCCAACCAGAAGTGGTATTTCCGGGTTCTCCAAATTGCTCAAACGTCCATTACCGAATTGCTCAAACGTCCAGAACTGTCAGAACCTGCTGGATTTCACCCCTGCTTTTAAGTTCTCTAAGCTACTCTTTAAGATTTTGTAAGATTTCTTTCAGGATATTTTCGATTTCCCTGTCAGCCCATGGCCCTAGATTTCCTGATAGTCCCCCCCCCCCATTCAATTGCCCAGCAGGCCCGTAGCTGACTTGCTGGTAAAAGAGCCTTGGTAGTACAGTGGTTTAAAGCACCCTGTTATTAACACAGCTGCCTGCAATTACTGCAAGTTCAAATCTCACCAGGCTCAAGGTTGACTCAGCCTTCCATCCTTTCTAAGGTAGGTTAAATGAGGACCCAGTTTGTGGGGGCAATAAGCTGACTTTGTATAAATATACAAAAGTATGAAGGCTATTGCTTAACGCATTGTAAGCCGCCCTGAGTCTCCGGAGAAGGGCGGCATATAAATCAAATTTAAAAAAAAATAAAAAATTTTTTTTAAAAAGGATATATTAAATACCTGTTTTGAAATAATATGTCCTTGATTATTTAGAAGAGCAACACTTAAAGGAAAGAGCTAATGTGCTACTTACTTGTGCCACTGAATTTGTTGTGAAAGCACAGAAACAAAATATAAGTAGGATAGTAGATGCAGTCTAAGATTTATATGTCTGCTTTCACACAGTTTGATTTCAGAGGAGCCTGCTTTTTCCTTCCACTTAACACACTTAAAATGTGGGTGTTAAAGATGTACCTGCTGGGAACATTAATGAAATTAACCCCAGAAACCTAAGCAACTAATTCAATTACCAAGAATGATATGTTAAACTATTTATTTATTTTATTTTATTTTATTTCTATACCGCCCTTCTCCTGCGGGACTCAGGGCGGTGTACAGCCGAGATAAAACATAGCATATAAAATTTAAAAACAGTTTAAAAAACAATTAACTAATTTCGGCCCAAAATTTAAAACAACCCAATTAAAACCGAATTCAATTAAAACTGAGAGGATGCGATCAAGCCAGCCCAGCTAGATGGAATAAGTGTGTTTTCAGGGCCCGACGAAAAGTCCCGAGGTCTGATATCGTGCGTATCTCAGGGGGTAGGTCATTCCAGAGGGCAGGTGCTGCCACAGAGAAGGCTTTCCCTCTGGGGGTCGCCAGCCGGCACTGTCTGGCTGACAGCACCCTGAGGAGGCCCTCTCTGTGCGAGCGAACCAGTCGGTGGGAAGCTATTGGCGGCAGAAGGCGGTCTCGCAGATACCCCGGCCCTAACCATGGAGTGCTTTAAAGGTGGTCACCAACACCTTGAAACGCACCTGGAAGACCACAGGAAGCCAGTGCAGCTCGTGCAGGAGATGTGTCATATGTGAGCGCCCCGTCACTCCCATAATCCCCCGCACGGCCGCATTCTGGACTAACTGCAGCCTCCGGGTGCACCCCAAGGGGAGCCCCATGTAGAGAGCATTGCAGTAGTCCAGGCGGGAAGTATGAAACTATGACATCCTAAGAACACATGCAGAATACACTTCTCTCTGAGTACCTATCTGCTAAAGTATATCTTTACTAATAGAGCTCTTCCTATTTTACTCATCCTAGTTTAGAACAAAACTCTCAGATATAAGTACGTAAATAAAATAACATGCTAGAGAAATGTTAAACATTTCCTACCTTAGAAAATGCACTTCCAGAGCAATCTGTCCCCAGAAAGCAAGCCAATTTACAGGGTATTTAAACCTCAAGAGATCTTTAGTTATAATGCTAAGCCTTTAATGAGACTGAACATTAATGAGTAGCGTCATTGAGTCATCTTAGACCTACTTAAGAATTTTCAACAGATGTACTTTATTGTAGGTACAGCTGCCTATTTTTCCTTGAAAATTATCAGTCACTTCTGACATAGGGAGGGGTGGAGTGGCAGCTTAATTGTTTTGTTTATTTGTGTTAGCAAAGTTTTTACTGCCTAGTACTGCTGAAGCTCTACAGTGAGTCAT